GTACAGCGGAAGGTGCGTGTGTGTCCTGGCAGTTTGTTGACTACACCAGCCCACCAATTAAGCATGCAGGTCGATATAGATGAGAAGGAATAGACTGCATGACTGGTCTCAAATAACAAATACATTTTTGCATGTGATGTGCCGGTACTGACGTATATCCGCCATTTTAGACCTTGCTTGTCGCTATTTCGTTAACTTGTCGGGTGCATATGCAGATTAGTTCTGAGAGCATTGATGTCATCCTTTACATATCCAACAAAGACAGTATCTATAGGTCCATTTTTCCCTCAAACCGGACGGGTATCACTGACTACATTCTTCGAACGTTTTCGGTTGGCAGCCTGCTTTCGCAATGTATTACGGCACTCTTTTGTAATTCTTACCGGATTATACGTTTTCACCGTCAGAAGACAATGTTTACCTCAGAGGCTTTTGTGTTCACATGACGAAAATTCCAATGACCCCTTGCTCTTGCTGGGCTTTCGGCTTGTTTTGTATAGCACAGAACCGAAGTAAAGGTAGGTAGCGCAGTCCAGGAGGCAATTAAGATTGGTTTAATGAAAATACTTATTTTATCTTTTAATTAAACCCCCCTAAATGTATCGCCAAATGCTCCGCTAAATCTACTCAATACAAAAAGCCGTTGGGTTATAGTTAAAACACTAATGCTTTATACTGGCATTGATCCGCATACTTGCATAATGCTGGGCTTGTTTCCTGACTATTTGTGCAGTGTAACAACTAAGGCTACATGTAGTCCGAGCACGTGTTGTACGAGACCAGCATTTCCATTTGTCATTTGCCCACCGAGTATCCAGTGGGAGTGGGGTTTTGCCGAAAAGTTGTCACTAATACCCTTTTAAGTAAAAATCTCAAATTCCATATAGAGGTGCAGAAGCAAACAGCAACGTACACAGGGGTGCTACATGTCAGCGATAAGCGTTTTCAGTAAAAATAATAATTACAGAATTTCCACTTATAAGGTTCCGTGGTTTAAATCACCGAGCCGATAAATCTCTATAATGTAACAGCTGCGCATAAATTTGCGAGGCGATCAAATGTTACCTGATGTCAGCAACTTCATTCGTAAATAGCAAGAAAGGACCGCCTCACTTTTGTTTACTTTAACACATCAAGGTGCGAATGACAACAAATGGTAAGGGTTTGCTTTCAGCAGAGGCAAATATGATAAAGGCCCCAGACCAGGGCCGTCCAGTGAATATTTTCGTCAAATGCAAAAAGGAGGCTGATAGGGTTGCTCCTGCACTACTCTTGCAGCAGTTTTGGGAATGTGGAATACAGGGCAACATTTTAAGTGGAGCAGAAGTTTTCTGCCATGGGGGCTGTAAAGATTAATCGTTGGTACCAGTGCAGTGCATCCAAATGTGTGCCAGTAGAAAGCGGCGTTTTGCGGGGTTCTGTGTTCGGTTCTCTCCTCTTTTTTAAATGCAGATCTTACATAAGATGACACCATGGTTGCAGATGATATGAAGATCTAGAAAATAATCACCTGTGCTGATCACGCGCAGGGACCACAAGAAGAGGTTGATAAGTTGCCTGTATGATCTAGCAAGTGGCTTCTAGCGTTTAGTGTATCCATATGTGCAGTCTTGCTCATAGAGTCTGGTCGCATGCGCTTCCCAAAACACCACTACACCATAAATGCGGTTCAACTAAAAGAAATGGACGCGCACAAGAACCTAGGTGTCTGGACAAGTCTAAACTTACTGTCCTCTGAGCACTGCTAAAGAGCCGTCCGAAAGGCAATCAGCATCATGCACTGAACTAGGCGTGCACTTACTCCTTCCTCCCGAACTCGTTGCGCACATCTTTAGAGTGCACATAAATTACAGAAGGTCAGCACGCAGGCCCTGGATAAACAGACACAATGATGCTATCGAGCAGGTGCAACTACGGGAGATAAAAATGGTGGACGGTCTCAGGACGCTGTCGGGACGCGCAGTATTTCAGCACGGAAGATGTATGATCCATGTGCCCCTTCAAGACTGCCACGCGAGGCTTCGCAAATACTGTCAGCGGATTAACCAAGAGAACGACACAAAATTGCTTAGCAGAGGGTGACTGAATGAAACCCCAAACAGGGAGCAACGCCCGACGCAGCACTGGGGAAGACATTGGACAAACTGCCTAGTCTAACGTCATCCAGAGATGACACGCTGGTACTCAACCTAGTGTCAAAGGAGCTGACAAATGAACAAGTACAGGTTTTACGGCACGAGACCTTATTCAATCTATCTGATGCCAAACCTGTCAACATGATCGCAGCAGTGGAGTCGGTCATCAATCAGACAGAAGCGGTGGAGAAGACGAAGAACCTTACCCGATACCACGTCCCTCTTGATTACTCACAAGTAGAGTGAAATATTCACAAATGTCAAATGTCATGCATTAAGAGAAGTTGAAACCATCAGGGGCATCGTCATCATGCCCGCGGACGGGGGGCGTTCCACCGTCCTATTGGACAGAGCAGACTACCTTAAGAAGGCCAAAACGCTACTGGAGGATCGCTTGTTTTATGCACCATGTGAAACGCGAAATTTGCGTGACACTGATGGCGTTAGAGAATTCGGGTGTAATAACACCGACTTACCGACGCGTGGCGAGAGTACACGCAATGGCCTTGGTCCGGTTCTATGGCCTCCCCAAGGCGCACAAGAAGGGTGCTCCTCTCCGGCCCATCATGAAGCTCAAAGCCACTCCAACGTACGGAGTAACAAAATGGCTGTTTCTGCATCTTAGATTTCTGGTCGTCGATTCGGACATCACGGGCTGTTCATCAGCTCAATTCTTGGATAAGCTTAAAGGGGTAAGTCCCTTGTTAAATCAGGTTATGGTATCTTTGATGTCACGTCTATCTTTGCTTCTATCCCCCAGGATCTGGTAGTTGAGACCGTCGAGCTACTCCTGTAAAGCAAACGCGATGAAATGGAGAATCGTCTCGAATGTGTTCAGATTTCGGCTCCTAACGTTCTCGCTCAGGACTTCTGAAGGAACAATCTATCAGCAAGTGAAGGAGGACCAATGGGTTCGCCAACTTCGGAACTCAGCCGTGGTGATCCTACAACGGCTAAAGGAGCCAATCCTCCAACAAAACAGACCGAAATTCTGAGCACGGCATGTGAATGACACCTTCGTTGTCATCGAATGGGATCATGTGCTAATGTTTAAAGAAGGTCTCAACAGCGTCTACCCAGACATAATGTAGAATGAAGGAGGAGGAAAATAACCAGCTAGCCTTCATTGATGTTCTCATCTGTCGCAATGCTTGTGTTGGCCTAAAGACCAAAGTGTTCAGGAAAGCGACGAACACGACGCAAATACTGAACATCAATAGCAACCACCCAAAGAGCCACAAACGGAGTTGAGTAACGACGCTCTCTCGGCGTGTTGAGACGCACTGTAGTGGACCAGAAGACAAAGTTGACAAACTTCAACACCTTCGACGGGTTTCCAGAGAAAATAGTTATCCGCACAACTTTGTCAACCCATGTTCGCGCAAACAAGTCGGGCGAGAAAATCGTACCGTCCCCAAATGCTGGCGAGCGATCCCGTACATCAAGAAGGTTTCCGATATCATTAGTCGCCTTCTCGCAACATTTGCTGTTGGAGTTGCACACAGACCCGGGGCCATCATAAAGCATCAGGTGATGATATCGAGAGACCCAAGTTTACCTGATGTGGTGCAGCTACGGCCAAATTAACTACGTCGGGGAAACTGGAAGATTGTTCCGGACGTGAATTGCTGAACATGCGGCAGCAGTGTGGAGAAATGATATAAAATTTCAGGTTGGAGCCCATTCGACGAGACCCGGCCACTCATTCAAGTTCAATGAGGCCGAAGTTCTCGCGACAGGAGATAACTGCTTGAGCCGTGAGTCGTGCTCCACGGGCCCCCAGTCTGGCAACAAGTGTAACGACATCCCCACTCTATATTCCGAGCTGTGGCATAGCCAGGCCAAAGTAATTAACCACTTCGGGATCACGCAACCGGTGACCAGATGGCCGAGCAATCGTCACACCAGCATCTAACACGGGTGAGATTTCAGCAATTAACAACTTGCATGTCGGCCATCAAGCAACCAGAGCACCAGCAGAAACTATCCCCGATGATGGATACAGCGGTTAATTATCATAGGTATGCAGTAGCATGGCGACTACATTCTATAAATACTGCAAGATCCCGTTTCTGTTATCTTCTCTGATTAGGGGCTCGGGCGAGAATTGGAAACGTCAAGCACATAAAGCTCTTGTCCCAACAATCCCTTCTGCTTCTTATGCAGATTGTTGTTAGGAAAACCTGAACACAACTGTAACGGCAGATCGGATTTAAAACTATTTGGGAATCGGAAAAGTTCCATAAGCCGAATTACACCCTTTCGTCAAATATAAAATTTGAAGAAGAGGTAATTGTCTACCAAAGGTGCCAACGAGTAAATATTTTTATGCATGTTTTAAAGGAAATATATGTCAATATATATGAGCATCGTAAGTGAACGAGAAAAAAATTAACGCTACTCAATTGTCATTTTTTACAGTGTAGTATCTGCCGGCGGCCGGGCAGCAGCTCAACTGGAAGTCGGAGTCTCGAAGCAATGCAAAAGTTTAAACGGCAATTAATATTACGATCCTCCTATAGTATTTTTTTTAAAAATCGAATAAACTCCGGAATTTCAGTTAACAATTCATGGGTTGGTACGTATAGTGCATGTGCGCTTAAATCTAAATACTGTCATAAAACACGGTTTCCACTATAGATTCTTCACTAACAAGATTTTCAGACTCCGAAGGCAAAGGAGACGGCTAAAATGTTTTTTTTTAAATAGACATGTATTGTGACAGGATCTCGGCACATGCTTAAATGGTAATCTTCTCTCGAATTTGCCACCGAAAAGGTTTCTTGACCTTTTGACGACAGTAAACATCTGGAGAGAAGTAGACTAATTATACTAACTGCAGACAAAATAATGTTTTCTGAATTCCTAGAAAGCAGAGTGCTCATCCTTAGTGTTGAGGGGTTTTCCGACATTGATCGGGCTCGTCTTCGTCTGTACGAACGTGTCAATGAGGTAGAGCGCCAGAAGAGCCATCGGTGTCTGCAAAGAAAAGCAAAAAAATTGACTCTTAGAGTTACTTAAAGGTCTGACTCATTTCATTCAGGTGGAATATTTTATCAGGGAAAACGACACAGCTTCTTTTAAGCAAACAATTCTCAGGTAGAGCATGGGACATGCCAGTTTTATCAAGAAATATCGATTTTGAGTCCAATATACACATCCACGAAATGCCAGAACAACGTGAAGTAAAATTTCCGTTAATTAAAAAGGGCTAGATTACTAACCAACATACTTGGAGAATTCTTATAGATATAGTAACCAACTAACCTTAAGCGCATAAGCCAAGTGAGTGGAGTCGTACACACTTTTTGACATTGTTTCCGAACATTGCAAAAGTCTTCTGTCCACAGGATTGCATTGCTCTGTATAACTGAATTGCAGGATATGTCTGAATGCCCACTGAGTCGTAACTACCGCACAATCTAAATCCGCAACAGCGGCCAGCTGTGAATGCGATTGACCCTGCGGAGTCAGAATGAATGGAACTGCGTGACGTCATCCGGCTTACCACACTGGCTACTCTACGCAGCCTGGGTTCGACGATGATGACAAAGGTGTCTGCAACCTGCTTTCAAGAAGAGCATATCAGGCAAAATCCAGGTATGTTGGAGAACAAATGCTATGTACTTCGCCCGCGCCGGTATGGCAGCTAAAACCCTGCATGCGAGAAGCTGTACATCTCTTAAAGGCGGCAGGCATATCTCTTGATGCAGTCCACCACATGTTGAGCAAGCATCAGATGGTGTGTGGCGCGAGTGGATAAGGGGTTTAGATTTGGCAGCCGCTGCATCAAGCCCATCTCCAACCATCTTCACTTTGTAGGGGGGCGTCGTTAAATAGATATTTTAATAACAAAACGCTCATGCATTTTCTCCTATAAATGAAACACAGGAAGAGTAATGCTAGCCTTGTCCAAAGCACATAAGCGAAGAGAGCTGAAATATGAACTTACCAAGATAATGAGAGTCAAAGAAAACGATGTAAGAAAGCCGCGGGTGAAGTCCTGGATTACTTTGATCGTACCTAGGAGTAAAACAGTGGCGCGAATTGCGTCATAATTAAAGACTTCAGTGTGCTCAGACTCCAAATTATAATAGAATATTTCAGTAGCTTGAGCCTAAGGTCAATACCGCCAGGTCTACATCACATAAATACATCTGAAACAGCCCTGCATTTTCTTTTTTAACTGGTATGCGAAAATTAACCGTACACTGTAGCTTGCTCGGCGGACGTTCTGACTGCGCATGCTAGACTAATTAAAAGGACTGTCTGTGCACCAACGAATAACACAGTCAATGACTGAATTTAGAAATCTCACGGGCCTATGAACAAGAAGTTGCATTGAGGGCGAAATGAAAATTTACCATTCGTGAGGCCTAATGTGATTGCTTCAGCGCGGGGTTGATCGGGGGCCGAGACACTGGAGGGGGCAATGCCAGTATAAATAGTTTCCATGGTCCCCGTGCTGGGTACAAGTCGACCATTAAGGGAGGCATCGACATTCGTGTGAGACGGTTTCCCGGAAACGCTACTGTAGGTAGAATTCAGGGTTCTTCCTGACGACCTCCTTGTGTTATGACCATGTACTGCTGGCGTAAAAAAGAGAATGGAACGGTCGTTGAGTAAACGTTGGCTGGCCTCAGTTTAAGGCCTGACGGAAGACCTTTCCGAGAGGAATCATGAAATTCGAATGTGCATACCATTGTCCGTTAGGCAACGCGCGTTAATTCGCACGATAAAGATATTATGCTTCACAGAGACCAGATTTAATTTTTTTAAAATCTGAATAGTATGTCATTAGGGTTTTAACTATTGAACATGGTGGATAGGGCCACGTATTCTGACATATTCTCTAATGAATGTGGTAAGTACTTTGACGTGCAAAAATATTGTGAGAAAACAAGACGTAACCGCAATTCCACCTGGATGTGCTATTCTCCTGTTGGAGAGGATTGCTGATAATCCGTAATGAAATTAAACAAAAAGCAATGGACGACTCTCATACTCCAGGATGCATTAATTCTTGCGTGGTATTTACATGCACCTGTCAATTTATTTCCTAAGTCGGTTTGGATAATTCCATAAAGTACTCATTCAACAAAAGATCTAATATGTATAGGAGGTCTTAGGCTGATTTAGAAATCCTGTAAACACTATCGCGCGCAAATGGGTAAATAGCACCACTGCATGAGTGTTGCGGTGATTTCGACAGTTATGGAAGTTCACTTATTTAGCGCAAATGTTCGAGCTATCAGCATTTGCACATTTCAGACTACATCTCAAAACATCTTTTCTGATTTGCTTTAACCATAAGTCATTCATTTTTATTTGGGAGTTTTGTCCAGCCATTTAGGCTGCTTTGTGATGGAGCCGAGACACTTCGTGAACTTGCCAATATTTTTCGGCCATATTTCCTTCTTGAGCATGCAAGGACTGTGATCTTCGTAAAATGAAACAAACGCCCTTGCGGCCATAAGTGTAGGCGTTGATGAACAAACGGAACAGTTATGAGATTTCTCAGGATACGACAATTGCTGTAACACAGCCGTCGATATGGAAGCAGACAATACCTTGAAATGGCATTACTTGATTTCTTGGAGAGTGCTTTACTGATAAGGAAACGGTGTAAATACCGCCCAACCGTGGCAAGGAGCATCTGGAATCCCTTATCAGGTCTGGGACGGAGGCAGGCACAGCGACTATGTCGGAGAAACTTGAAGACTGCTCTGGACGTGAAAGGCCGATCAGGTAGCAGCAGAGCGGGCAAATGCCGTCAACGCTCGTGTCGCGACTTATTCGACAAGACACGGTCACACATTCATGTTCGAGACACGAGAGAGGTGATTATCGCGGGAACCGCGAGTTGCTACTCTTTGTTTACAGGACACCAGTCTTTCAGCAAGTGCAATAGCCTCCTCACCACATATTCGGCGCACAGATTTAGTTAAGCCAAAGTAATTAGTCGCATGGGGAGCACGCAGGCCGGTGAGCTAAGATCAGAGACGGTTGATGAAATCTCGGCCACTAAGGACTTGTGTGTCAGTCTATTAAGTATTCACTTCACCAGAGGGAAACCATTCACACTGAATGGGGAGCCGTTAATTGTCATGTGCATGTAGTAACACAGCAACCGCATCTTGAATAAAGGGCAGCGTCATGTGCATGATATACCCGTATGTGATACTGTCTCTATGATGGGTTCACGCGTGAATCCGACACGTCAGGCAAATAGGGCTGCTAGGACAACAGTCACATTTTTGCTTGCATCGGCAAATTCTGCACTGCTCCTTATTATTATTATTATTGTTATTATTATTATTATTATTATTATTATTATTATTATTATTATCCTTTCTGGTCGTCCTGGCCTGTTCGATTGACACAAAACTTCAAGCGCCGTGAACAGTCCGCGTTGGTTCACAATCCTTGGGTTACACTAGCCGGAATGCACGTCAGGCGAATGAAAGTACTGTACTGTTGTCGCAGTCATCGACATCGGAGAGAAAACGTTATCTTCCGCAATAATAATTTGCAACCGCTTTGTAAAAGATCAAAGATGGGGAGGTTTTCCGCTATGGTGCACAAAACTGCATAATATGCCGGATCATTTGTTGAAAGATTTTACCGACATAACTGATGTTTCGAACTAGTATTTTAATCCTACTTCTCTAATTTTCAAGTAGAATGCATGAAGATTAAATAGTACAAACCGAATCAAAATGAAATGCTTATTCTAAACACATATACATAAAAGGAGGAAATGTTCGAAAACCTACACGTAATCTGGGGACATCCGCGCATAATGTGGATCACAGCAAAGACATATAAAATGCGGAACATTATGAACTAGTAGTGCGCCTGTGGTGCGAATGTGCGATATAAGTCGTTATATGACAAGTTCCACTGAAAATATTAAAACGCCAACTTAATGAGAAGACGTGATCTATGCGCGTTTCGACCAGCTGTGATTGGTCAGCCTATCTCGAGTTGAGTACATCACACTGCGCTTTCCACGTTTTTACGTCTGGCGCTCAACAAAAAATATCCTTTCCGTGGAGCTGCAGCTGAAGCACACGCCAATATATTCGCTATTTGCATCAACCTTCTGTATAGATTGCCAATAGAAGCGAAGAGACGAGTCTCAGGAAGCAGTCTTGAAGAAGAAGACACGAATACACCGCCTAAACGAAGTCTTGCTGAGACTTCGTCTAGGCGGAATAACTGGCCGCGCGGGAGCGCACAGGTGAGCACTCATCCCAATACCCGGGTCAGCGCGTCAGATAGTCGAGTAATTATCACACCAACGTCCAACGCACGCGATGAAATTGCAGCAATTAACGACGCGAATGTCGGCCATCACGCCACTTGCAACGATTCCTGATGAAGGGAGAGGGGGGGGAGTCGTGAATAATCACATGCATGCGGTAGCATCGCTACTGCATCCAATAAATACTACAGCCGCATGTGCATGAACCACCCTTATCTGCTTTTGTCTCTGATGATGGATTCGAGCAGGAATCCGAAACGTCAGGCTAATAAAGCTCTTGTCCCGGCGATCGTGTCTCCTTCATCAAGACTACTTCCTGCGACTCTTCTCTTCGCTTTTATTGGCAAAGCACTGCTATATTGGAAATAAGACGTTTGAACCCGTATCTTCAAATGATAATTTTAGTGTGCTCTCTCTATCTGAAAAATAAACGTACATTTGTACAGACGTCTCAATTATTGACAAATTGTTATGTTAAATATTCGTTATTTAATTTGAAAATTAATTTAAAATATGCAAGCTACATTTCATTGTAGATGCAGCTGACTGACACCCAGCTAATACTATCTCAGCGTGTCAGAGCTTAAGCAATAAATAATAATTCTGTTACCAGTTAGCATTTGCAAGAAAAACCAAGCAATTGCTCCCAGCTTAAAACTGCAAATAGTAAATGCATCATTTGCCGCTCTCTCCATCTACTGCCTGCTAATAAAGCTCTTGTCCCGACGATCGTGTCTTCTTCTTCTTCTTCTTCTTCTTCTGTATAGAGTTTTCAAATATACTCGCGAATTATTTCGTAAGCTGAGTCACCACCCTCACACCGGTTGCTCTCTTACAACAATCGCCCTGTCATGCGTAGTATTCACGCTGCGAAGACCAGCGACTGATATTCTTTTTATGGTCATCCACAAGCTGACAATATGTAACTCAAAAAGATGCATTCTATATTCCATCCACGTGCACCGAACGATTACACAAACTCACTAATTAAAAAACAAATTTGTGCGAAATGGAGCAGCATTCTTTGAAGTCAGCTTAGCAGAAAAGAGCAAAACAAAGTAGGACGCGCTCAAGAAGTGTACTTCGTAAGTCCATACGGTATTCTTTGAGTACTGAGAGCAACTCCTCATTGTCGTTTCATGGTCTGCATGCGCACCTATGCTGTTCATCTCCTGATTACACACCGCAGCGCAAAATCGAATAACCTAACAGATACCAGAGTCATGAAACCTCCCCAGACAAGCTTAAATGTGAGATATGATTTATACTCACATGTCTAAGTGATGTGATGTTACCTTCGAGATAGTGCAGTAAAAGGAAGGCAGATATTGGACGAAAATCAAGTTTATCTCGAGAATTGTGGATTTGTTTACAGCAAGGCGTTATTAAAGAGAAAGAAATAGAAAAAAAGACGGATTTGCATTTTAGAGCTCTCGGGGAAAAGGCAAGACTGGCTTATATGGCCTCCTAAAGAGGCATTTAAATAGGTACGTTCAGCCGAAGCAATAAACGTGTGTCTGAGCATAGTTCCGGACAGAACAAAATAATCCTGTGTCCGAAATCTAACAATGACCCTAATAAAAAACTAATCCGTTGCCCTAATCGTGACCGTAATTGTGCCCTAAACTACGACCCTGCAATTAACACCGGCCCCTACCCTGATCCCAAACATGATCCTGACTTACTTTGCTGTAAACTCTTAATCGGGCCTTAAAACTAGTCCTTATATTAGCCCTTACTACAAACTTTAACTTAACCCTGACGTCACTGGAAGACAGGTCAAAAGCACCCGTAATGCAGGAGGTTCTTTTTTCCGTGTACTGTCTAGGGGGTCATATAGGTCAGTCCTACTGAAAGGACTTAGGTTACGCCAGCATTCAGACGGCTGAGGGTTTCGGTGGGTATAACGTTTAGAAAGGTGCCGGAGGTGACGTAAGGCCGTTTAGGGGCTTAGGTTATAGATCACGGCGGAGAGTGAAAGATGATGGGTCAGAAAAATCCAGCATGGTCGTTTACACAGGAGCAAATGTTTTATGGAATGCACCATAGGTTAGTGGAAAGTGCACAAAGAGCATCATAACGAGCACCAAGGTCGACATGACGATCGAAGTTGGAATCAGCATTTACTTGCAAAATTAGTTGTCTTTAGCCACTCGTGGAAAGGAAGCCAATAGTGTTTCCTAGGCAGGACTTAAAAAGATTCTCTTTACAGGAGTTGTAAAACTTGAGGTATCTCGAAAAGATACGAAGACAAATACTGTTTATCTCTTCATTTAATACGTGATGCAAAGATATGATACGCAGATTTTCTAGACGATAAGTCTCGACCTGAAAACATTATGTTGGAATACTAAAGGACGTTAGGTCGTAGGGATTTTAGTGGCCATATATGGAATCTCACGCATGAATCTGGCACACATCCCTTTCCCAACTTTCCTGGAATATACTGAAGTTCTTACCGGATTATCATTTTTTGCCGACGAAGTCGTCGTACATTTGTGAGATAAGAGGGTGCCAGGCCGACTGAAATTGCATATGAGCGAAGTGGTTGGCAGGTTTGACTATAAATGTACGCGTCGCACACGTGGACAGGCTCCTACCCCACAGATTTCGCCGTGGGGGCTACCTCCTGCGTAAACGAGATATTCAAGTTCTTATATGCGAGGCTTCATGCGGGTGTTGTCAGATTGCGGACTTATTTGGTGTTGTCATCATGTTAATTCTGTTGCTGAATTCGTGCTAGAGGGGAGGGCTGAATGGACGCGTGCAGTTTTTTCCATTCCCCCATACCTGTTGATAAAAAATAGATGATGAACAACTTATGAAATATCCGCAGACAAATTCAGAAATGCACACGCAACTTACTTTCACCTTCATGCATTTGAAAACAACCGGTAAACAAGTAAATACTCGAAAATGACACTTTGTTCATGGTTTTTGGTCTTTCATTGGTGCGCTTAGAGAGCATTTAACCATCTGATTTTGATTAAAATCAACGTCTGCCCACGAAACTAAATAGAAGAATCTAAATCGCTGCCTTCCTTTAAAAATTTATTCGTCATTGATATGCCGGGCTTTCGGAGTTTAAATGCGCCTGTTGGTTCCTTAAAAAACCGCTTATTTTGCCAAATCCGTAATGGAAAAATTCCAAGTTTCGCAGGTATTGCACCTGCAGCGCTGGTGCATTAATCGGAAACACCTGGCCTAAACGTAAAAAATTGTTTTCATCAACGTTGAAACCCTATCCTCTGTAGTCTGCTGCAGTCTAGTCACATGGCTGTTGATGATGGGGATAGAAAAGACAGAATATTTGGTGGTTTTATAGAAACATAATCTGCTGGTCGCAAGGGAGTTCGAGGGGGCCCGTCAACAAACGTAATCGCTGAGGAGGGTGAATGCACGCCCTGTCAGTTTTTTTAGGCAAACCGGTCCATGGTTTAAGGATGTGGCAGTGAAATAGATAGAATGGAGCACAGTGGGGAAGACATACCCCGAAACTTGGATCTACACACTTCATTTACCCCCTAAACATAGTGACCCCTCGATCTTTTGATACCTCAGTATCTTAAACCTAGTTTCAAGATGTTACGATGTGAAAGACAAAAAAACGTAGATCGGAAACCAAAAGTGAGGATTTTGGGAAATACAATCAGGTAAAGGATTGAAATTACGGTTGAGCTGAATGCCGCTTACCGAAAATGTCTTCCGAAATTAAGCATATTTTCAAAATTCCCCATACCTGGTTTAACTCGGAAAAACACGTAGCTGATAAAAGCTGGCTCGACAGCATTTAAATTTCCGCAACACAACCAGGAATGATGTCTGAATAGCCCATGAAATCGCATTAGGTTCATGGACCTCGGTAGTTGATGTTGATTTGAAATTCACCAGCTACAGCAAAATAACAGTGTATTCTTCATTAACTGACAAACAGGCAATATTCTGATATCAGGAGGCTCAGTCATACAACAAACAATGGTTGTTTAGCCTTTACGCTAATAAAGGTCCCCTACATGCGTACTTCAGTTTTGATTACTTACTGCGATTTCAAGTAAGCCTGTGAGTTATATGTGGCATTTGACTAGATACATCGGTCGTGGTTAAAACAATTGAATGCATGGGTTCCGGGAAGTTCACTGCTGGAATATAAGCTAAACCTTTGCCGCTTTCTATCGGGAAATAGGCCGAAATTCCATAATCAATTGATTCAGTTCTTTGAGGCATCCAGTTAGTGTGAGTAAAGTACAATAGACAACCACAGGTGCGTTCCAAGGCAAATTGGCAACTGAAAACAATCATTATTAAATGATCGTCAAGAAATGTTAAATTGCGGGTTGCTACAGAAGACAGCCGTCATCCAACAAACGCTGATGTGTGCTCATTCTGTGTGACAGTTCGAATAACTTAACCCAAGATGTCCACTGTGTGCCCCACGGCAATGTGAGAGCAGGGACAGTGACTTGTGCCTGAATTAGTTTAAAGTGGTAGTAGGCTTGCTAGTCATCTCCCGCACACACACCCCCTCTCCCGCCTG